CTGGGGCCAGGAAATCAGCCAGGGGTTGCACTCACACACAGCAAGATTCAGGCTTCTGCTACTCCCCGCCCCCACCACACACAGCCCCGTGCAGGGGCAGCCCAGACTGGCCACAGGAGGGCAAATCACAAAGCAATGTCCATTCTGAAAGTGATGTGAGCGTGGGGCTACAGGGACACCAAGCACGTGACCATCAGAGGTCAGCGAAGGTTTCCTGAGCTAAGGCTTGCGGGGGAAAAGTTGGCGAGGGGAGGAGGACGACACCTCAGGCAGCAAGCCCTGAAGAAAAGCAGGGTGCTCCTCCAGGGCTGCCCTTGTGCCTCTGGGCAGGGAAAGCTGAGGGCCAGGCCACCTAACCATGCACCAGACTCTCCAGGTGTGCCACCCTTGCCCACTTGTGCCTGGGCAGCCGTACAAAGCCATGAAGACCCTACTGCAGGCACCAGGAGAGGCAGGGGGCTCAATCCAAGGCTTCTCTCCCCCAGGCTCCACAGACTCAGCCTGGCCACAAGAGATCTGGGCAAGTCATTTCCCTCCCTGACCTTCTGCTCCCTGGGGACATTATTTTCATCTTTCACCCATGTAGACTCTTTTTTGTTTTTTGTTTTTGTACCGGGAATTGAACTCAGGTCCTTGCATTTGCAAGGCAGGCAGCAGAACTGCTGAGCTAAAAAATCCCCGGCCCCATGTAGACTCTTTATAACCATTATTTCTGGTCCTCAAGAAATCAGGATCCCTGCTTTCTGAACGAAGAAACTGAGGCAACAAATCAACAACTAAACAACATATCAGGGCTGAGCAACCCTAAAGGGCCCTGGATGAGGTTTTTAGTGAAAAGGGCAAGCCTTCGGAGAAATTCAGTCTCACTGATCCCCAGTGCAGGCTGTGCCTCCAAGTGACCGGATCTTGGCTGCCCAGCCCCTTTCCAGGAAGCCCTGTTTCTGTACACCCTAACCCCTGGTTTTCCCAAACCTGACCTATACAGCTACACCCCAAGACTGCCCATACCTATTCACCATCCTCCCCTCTTCCCTCTTCTGCTGCTTTGATGCAGGAATAGGATGAGAGTACACTGAGCCCCCAATGTCTCCATAGCTCTCAAGACCAACCCCAGCTTTTGCATCTTACCCTCTTCTACTCCCTCCCCTGCTCACTCTGCTCCACACACACTGGCTGTTCCGTGCTTCAACCTCTGGGCCTTTGCATATTCTGTTCCACTACCTGAGATTCTTTTCCCCAGAGAGCTGCAGAACAGAGCAGTAAGAATACAGACAGCCTGGCTTTGGTGCTGGCTTTCCACTGTAGCAGCTGTTAACCTTGGGTGTCCTTTGTCAAATGGGCACAGAAAGATCCTCAAAGCCTCAAAAAGTCTAATGCAAGGCCAGTCTGGCTCCTTTCTCCTTCAAGTCTCTGCCCCAATGTGCCCTTTATTATTCACCCCACTGCCACCCCTGGTTTTACTGTCCTCTCAGTGCTGTCCCAGCCCCTGGCACGCAGCATGTGTTTATTTATCCATCAGGTTAATGTCCATGCCCCCCAGGAAATCCTCTCTAGGAAACATGACACGCTCAGTGGTGTTTCTGCAGTCCCCGGGCTAGGTGCACAGTCGGTGCTCAGCAGGTACGTGGGGGGAACACGAGGACACACACACCTCTCAGCACACAAGTGACCAGGGCGCGTGGCCCACAGGCCTTGCTTGAGCTCCGGACCATCCCCAGGTGGGAGCCTCAGTCCCTCAGCAACTGCAGGGAGCTGGGTACTGGGAACACCTTGCTGGCAGGAAATGCCTCTCACGGGGGGGGGGGGCGGGGGG